AAAAAATCAATTTTTAATATATTTGGTACAATACGAAAGCTAGTAAGATTATCTATTGGATTGTGTGTATGATAAAACATTATGTTTATTGTGTTACTCAAAATTTACCAAAAACCATACCGTATTTGTTATGAATTTTCTGGCAAACTTTGAAAATATATGTTTTAATTAATAACTACGAAAAATACTAGTAAGCTAACAACGTTTTTTCTGTTTTTTTTTTTCTTCAAAAACTGACCACATATAAAATGAAACACCTATAAAAAATTTCAGACATTAATCATTTTGTATTTCGGAGTTATAGTATGTCAAATGTTAATTCCGGGAAAGATGGCAAATTTTAGACGCTGGGAAAGACATAACATACCGTACTTGGTGGAGGTAATAATAATATCTAGCATCAAGCACGTTCCTTATAAATTGTCTAAACGGGCCCCCCTATTTCGTAAGTACCTTATTGTCTCCCACTGATTTATACCGTCCAGCGGCAGTGTTCCCTTTGTATTCCATCCGGCAATTCCTTCCACAAGCGTAGGCAACCAATCGCTAACGTGAATTAATTCATAACTGACTGTTCCTTTGACATCGTCAGAGAGTAGTGGACTGTGGACAAAACCGACACCGCGTATACCCCCCTCAAACAGGGATCCTTTGTAGGCACGAAGAGGCCAGTTGTAAGCAGCAGCCCACACTGGTCCACCGTTATCTGAAGTAACAAAGGGAAAATGTCGTTTAAAATATGTAGTACATCTAATAACTAGAGGCCATGGCTACCTTGATAAAGTTGTCCTGTGCATTAGGCATTTGTTTAAATTCCTGTTGTTCTTGTCATACAAACAGCATAAATGTCTGATAGATATTCATTAATGTTTCTGAACATTATTACGAAAGCCCATTAGTGCCAATAAAGTATATGTTCAGTAATGTTAATTCGTTATTACGGATTAGTAATTCGTAATTACGAATTAGTAATTCGTTATTACTGATTACTGAACATATATTTATTGGCACTAATGGGCTTTCGTACTTTCGTACATTTTACATCATTGCGTTAGAAAATCAAGAGTGGTGATCACGAATGAAAGGTGACATTTACTGAATTCGGCAGTTGGATTGTCACCGACAAATGGAACTTGCATATTTTGTCGCCGATGAGTCGGGGTCCTTCCCGATTGCGCTAGGTATAGCTACATAGGTAGTGTAGTGTTTGCCTTAGTGATTTCATGGTAAATGTTTACAAAATGCAAAGATTCAAATAACATGTGACAAACACTGGAAACGTAAACCTACCAGTTGTATAGATGATAATTGTATTATTGTAAATTCCATTTGCTTTGAGGGCCTCTGTTACGTTACCGATGCCTTCGTCCATACAGGCCATCATACCGGCATACAGCCTCCGGTCCTCATCTTCAATGATATCACGATAAGGTTCCGAGTACTGTTGGGGTACCTCTAGGGGAGCATGAGGTGCTTGGTGAGATAGCCACATGAACATCGGCTAAAATCAAATAAATTCTTTTTGTTAATGAATGTTGTTGCGCGTATGGTTCTATCCGCCATGCTGTCTATATTCCTGTCGTTATGTCCGGCTGTCCGACCATATATATGCATTCATTAATCCATTCATCCACCCATCCATCCATCCATCCATCCACTTATTCACCCAGGCCAGCCATTTACCCACCCAACTATTCATACGTCCATGTATTTAACCATCAATCAACCCATCATCCATCTTTCTATCTATCAATATACCTATACAGTATACCGTATCTATCTAACTACCTTTGACTTAAACTTACCTTATCTGGGTCTTTGTTATTAATTAGATCAATCGCCTCATCGGTGTAAAGGTGTGTCGCATAGCTGCCATTGTACTGCCACTGAGGTTCAAAATCTCGATAAAAATCTAACTGTCCCTTGGGGGTATCGTGGGAGAAGAAATACTCTGCACCTTGCAGAAAACCTGGAAAAAAAAACCGAATTCGAAATCCATGTTTAGGCTAATTTATTATATATTTCATTCATTGGTTATCTGTACAAAATGAAATAAAATGTAGATATATTATACAAAATGAAAGTTGTAAATAATACAAGCAACTTCATATTTCAATGTAATTCACACTACTTTAAAGATTTTTTTTTTCAAATCAGATAAAAAATATTACAGACCGTACTAAAATTTCAAAATAAAATAGTTTAACCTTTAAATCCATTGATAT